AAAACACTCATTACTCAATATCTAAACTATGTCTGAGAATACCCTACCATTCATTTCAAATTCCCTATATGAAAATCACTACAATATGACCAGGGTGCCAGTCACTGCTGATGCTTCTTCTCTCACATTCTGACTGCAGCCATCACCAGAAGCTATTTTAACTTGCCTGGCAGAAGCACTAACTGTGGTTCTATCAAAGCCAAGGAGACAGATTGGGCAGGGGAATTCTGTATATGGAATGGTAGATACTGAGGTTTGGACAATGTCAGATGCAGAGATCATCAGTGTGCATGATTTCCTTTATGTATTCTTTTGCATTCTACATGTCTTTAGATATACTTTATAATAGTGCTAATACATGTTATTAGGTGCATGTAAAGGAAAATGGACATCTCCTACATATGATCACTATAATGCTTCTGTCAAAAGGATTGTGAATGGTAGTGTTAGGAGTATCATGTTTGTATTCACATACAAGTATGGTAATCTTAGCCACTGGCCTGTTCAGAGAGTACAGATGAAAACTAATAATAGTACTAGTAACCTACTCTGTACAGTACAAGTCTGTGATTCACAGAGGAAAGTTTTCTCATCTATGACTGCTCCTGAACTGTCCATTCCATATTCTGAGACAACTCATCAAGCTCTCATTGCCTTGAGATGTGCCAAGTCCAATCGACCATTCAATTCTGTGAAGGACAAGTACTATGGACTAGAGGTCAACATGCTTTGTCTAGGGACAGTAGTACCAGTTCCTAGCACAATTTTGAAGGACATCAAACATATCTATAAAGGTTTATCAGTTAATGTTTGTAACTACTTCAAGGTATGTTCTACTTTTTAATACTAATTAACCTTACATTTAATTATTACTTTGCATATTAGAATCAGGCTCAGAATGTACATCTTGCTATTGATGGGTGGACTGCACCTATTGTTGCATCCTATCTTGGAGTGGTTGTTATTTGGACAGATGCTAGTCAAATTCATTGTACTGTTCTTGAGTTTATCCAGTAAGTCTCTCTTCCTTCCTTCTTTTATATTCTTTCTTGGTTTCTGTATACACTTTAGTGGTGGACATAGTACTGGATTTGCTCTGATCTACAACAATGAGGCAATTTGGAAGGAGTTGTACTCAGGCTTCACTCAATAACATTACAACAGAGTTGTCTGATGCTGGACAATCCAATCTATCCCTATTGTTGCCTTCTGGCTCTAGCTCACCTGCTGTTGAGTCCACTCCTCTCTCAAGCACACTAGACTTAACTGTTCCCTGGAGGATGAGAGTGCTAGTATGGAAAGACCCAGTTACTCTGTTATAGATGAGAGACCAGACATTCATTAGCATAATGTTGGTTGGACAGGTGTGATGGACAGGCTCAAATTGTTTCTGTACATCCTACATGGAAAAATCCCATCTCACTAAGTGCCTGTATGTACAGTCTTCTGATTCTATGAATCAATCTAACAGAGCCCATTTTCCTATACTATATCAGACTCTTATTGTAGCAAAAAACAGGTCCTGTCAAGCAATTCTGATACACAAGCTGATATTAATCAAAGTTTTGCTTACTGTCACTACTGATTGTAATAACTTCACTTATCTTGACACCACTTGTGTATGCAATGTGGCAATGATCCAAGAAAAGATGTTTTTAAAGGTACAACCTGACAGTTATCTGTGTGTTCAATCCTTACTAAGATGTGTACAGTCACAAATATTGGATGATCAGCAACCTTTTTCTCCACTTACTAGACTGAGATTGGGCAGTTTGCTATAGGCAAAACTCTGTCAAACGAGTGTCTCCAAGAAATCTGCAGAACAGAGGGTGATTCGAATAGTACTGTGAAATTTTCAGTACTACACTCGTCTGCCACTGTTTATCTACTACCACCTCAGCTGTTTTCTGTTGTTGCAAACCATGTTCCTCCTGTTCTTCCCAACTACCAAGAGAGTGGCTTCAGGTTGCCAAGCCTGAGAGTGTAGACAATGAAGTCAAACTACAAAACAATGTCTTCAACAAGCAAGCTATTTGTTATTGATCAAATACTTGGAAGTGAGGGATCTGTTTCTGATGATCTTGAACAGTATGAGCAAGTTATTCATCCAGAATACAGTAGGATTGACAACACAACACTGCCTCCTTCTTTGCTGTCCACACTATGTGTAATGTATTTTAATGATATGACTTGCTTTTTCTTACTATGTTGTACATGTAGTATTGATAAACAGACTGCTAATACATTACATAGGTTAACTCAGGGTCATACTGGAGCATATCTAGCTCAGAAATTAGTAGAATGCTTACAGTGGTATGAGCTAGATAAGTATGTAAGTTACATATTTTTATTTATTTATTATTACTTTAAACTGAAATGATAAAGCTACATGTTCTCTGTATGGATAATGCAGGGAACTGTAATACAACAGCTGTAGAGACAGCCAAGTTGATTCCAAGTTTTCATGGCATGAAATCTCGAACTAGATGCTTTAGACATGTACTAAACCTGATTGTAAAGGTATAGTCTTATTATTACATGTATTATCTATTTTTCTTACTATTATCTGTGTTAGACTATTCTATCCTTGTTTTTTAAGCCACTCAGACAGAAGAGGGCAGTCAGGATTGGTGCTAGCCATCCTCAGAGTAATACTCTGATGCCTTGTTCTGAAGTAGTCATTAATGCTGGTGATGACCTTACTGCTGAGGAAGCTGAGCTTGCAGTTCTTCTTTCTGATGAAGAGAACTCAGCTGATAATGGTCAGATAGTTTATGATACTTCTGTAACATCTTCTGTTAGAGACTGTGCTATTACAGAAATGCAAACCAAAGGAGTTACTGTTGGAATTGCTGAGATGAAGGAAGCCAAGCTTGTACTACCAAAAGTAAGTTATACTCTTAATAATGAAATCATACTTTCTAATAGTACTTAATATTTAAATAAGATAGCAGGTCTTGCTAAGAAAGTACATGACTCTTCTCCTCTCAAAGAAGAGTTTGATTGTCTTGTTGACACTGAGGCTGTTAACAAGAGTTCTCATATTTATGGTCAAAAGTATGCTCTTGATTATTAAGTTCCAACTTGGTGGAATTCTGATCTAGCTTGCCTTGATTCATATCTCTTCTTGTATCCAGTTGTTGAGAAGTTAACTGGACAGAGAGGATTGAAGCTACAGTACTTCATCCTCAATAATTCTCAGCTTGTTCTTGCTAGGGAATTACATGAAGTTCTTCTAGTAAGTTTTTATTAATTTATTTTCTATTAGACTAATAAAACTACATAGATACTTGAGGAACTGACTTTACTCTTCTCTAAAGCAGAAGTCCCTGTTGTTTCAGATGTCATTCCTATG